TTTTACAAAAAAAGATTTCTTGAATTTGTTGTACAATTTGTACAATATTTTCATTGATTGAATTTCTTGTCAATAAATTTTAACAAAAATCACAAAAAATATATATACACAATTTGATGAGATTTATTTATTTCCAAATACGGATGAATTCAAGTTTGTACAAGATTTCATCATTGAATAATTTTGTTTGATTGATTAAGTTTCTGTTGTTTTGTTTTTCGTTTTTCAATTGTTTTTTTAATGATAATTTTTTAATTTTTGGGCAGAGTTTTGGAGGTTTTGTGTTTTTACACACACAGTGAAATCATCAGTCTGCATAAGTACGTATTATTTTAATTGCTTGCCAACTAAATTATCCATTTGAAATCATCAATCAATCAATAATTGTTAGACTACCATTAGAAACTTGGGAAGCACTGAAAGACGACCGTTTCGTCCTGGTAAGGGGCTCATCAGTGGCAGTGCACATCCACGACTCCTGCACCTCGTAGGATTCGAACCCGGGACCTTCGGTATTGTGCGCGAACGCCTTACCATCGGACCACTGGGCCGACATCCAATGGTGTTAATGTCTAACTTTGACTGATCTAGGGATTTGGTAGTTACTGCCTACACCCGACAGGGTTCAACTCCATTGGATATTTCCAGTTAGAATTTTGGAGTTTTGTGTTTTTACACATTTGAAATCATCGAGTTCAACTCTGTCGGGTGTAGGCAGTAACTACCAAACAAAAATGGGTGAGGTGGCGCGAAATCCCTAGATCAATCTGAGTTAGATATTGTCATCGTTGGATGCCGGCCCAGTGGTCCGATGGTTAGGCGTTTACGCACAATATCGAAGGTCCTGGGTTCGAATCCTGTGAGGTGCGAGAGTCGTGGATGCGTACTGCCACTGATGAGTCCCATACCAGGACGAAACGGTCATGTTTCAGTGCTTCCAGGTTTCTAATAGTGGTCTAACAACGACTGATTGATTGATGATTTCAACTGGATAATTTAATTGGCATGTAATTAAGATAATACGTACTTGTGTAGACTAATCAGTTACAGAATAGTCTAAATTCGAATACTTCACTTCTGCTATCAGAAGTTTGTGCTGATGATGATGATGTTGTTGTTCAGTAGAAGAAGAATAATGAAATCTACATAACCAGAAAAAAACAATATCAAGCTCAGAGAACGAAACACCGCCACAATAGTTGTAATCAATAGTTTTTTTCCTTAATGCTGCTCAATCTTTTGCAATGACGATAAAAGTCATTTAATCAGACAAGCACTGCCTATATTTCAATGGTACAAAGTTTGAAGTAGCTATTGAATTTCTCAAACATTCAAACCATTTTAATAATATTCTGTTGTCCACTAGATTGGATGAATGAATGCTAATGATTGCTTGTCACGAAGTCTTTAGAAAGTTGAATATTTCATCTATTATCTTGTTAATTAAAAATCAACTGACTAATTGTTAATGTGATTATATATACAACGTCTAAAAGTGAGGTATTCAAATTTCAATTGATGTTAGTTGAAAGTCATATAAAATGTATTGGTTGTTCAGTCGACAGTCATTAATATCATACCATCATGTTACCCGACCGTAGTTGCTACGTTGACGTAGTGGTCGGGCTTGCCTATTGTGGAGACCCGACCGAGCTATGCTGGCTGGAATATATGTTCCTGAAGGTTCTGCTATGCCAGGCAGGTCAATTGGAGAACGATGAAACTAAAAGCAGCTACTCAAGGTCTCAGGGCGAAGTCGTACTGCTGACTGTGATGGAGGGGTGTGACAGTAGTAAGGTGTTTCCCTCGGACAACCAGCATCTGCAGCGATGCTGACTTCTCACAAGGAAGGAAGGGGTTAGAAAAGATCGACCCTAAAAATGTCACACCTCACCTTATCTCACGGATTTCCAACTCCGGCCGTAAGGGTGCCCACTTAGGGCTTTTAAGAGCGGAGCTAATACCAAAAAAACCTTTGATAAAAAGGCCGTGCATGACCGGCCTCAAGCAATTGTCCCCTAGGCTCTGCGGTCACGCAACCATGTCAATAAGATCAACACTAATCGACCTTCCTTTTCAGTTCCCTCAAGAAACACCCTTCCACGGTGTGGGCAGCCGTGAAGTGACAACCGCCCTCATACCCGTAACAACACACGAGACCAAGTTGGTCAAAATCAAATCAAATCCTTACACCATCATGTTATGCTAATTATCGTCAGTGGTATTTGAGTCTTAGAACATCGTGTCTGTGGAAATTGACTCTGCCTGGACAAGGAAACTGTATGATAATCATCTATGTAACATATATCCATTTCAGTATCTTCTAAGAATTATTCACCCGATGCGCTTTACAAAAATTGTTAAATTATATATCACACCTTGATAAAATGTTAAACTACTTTGTTACTAAATTTAGTACGAATCTGTCATTTTCTACAATCTGAAGGTTATCAATAAACCTATCAATACTAACAGTTTTGTTGTATACAAACAAACCTTGTAGTAAAGCTTCTATTTTCACTACGTACGTACCTTTTCCCTACCATTCGGCATGTAAGTCGAGAACATATCTGGAGATTTAGGACAGTAGTGTAGTGAAGGAGAACACAGGTGGGGCAACCGAATTGTATTTAACGAAAATTACAGAGTTACTCAGTAAAATAGGAAAACCATATCGTAAATCGTTAATTTGCAAAATATCAATTCATCATATCGAACTGGACTGTTCCTATTGCAAAACATCAATCCATTGTCACTATTCATGCGTTTCATACAAATTCCATTGTGTTCTAACTCTTCCTTTCTTGATCTTCCCCCATCATCTTCTACTGCCAGACACTACGTTGACACTCACGTCATATACTACTTATAAGTAGCTCACATCACAGTAGACTTATTGATTGAAGATTTGCAAATTAACCGTTTACGATTATGGTTTTCCTATTTTACTGAGTAACTCTGTAATTTTGTTTAAGTACAATTCGGTTGCCCTCACCTGTGTTCTACTTCACTACAGTAGTATCAAGTTATCAAGTAGCAAACAGAAGTTGAATGTGTCACATCAAAATGTGTTATCGGATAAGTATGCATGAAATACAGAATTTACGTTAAGATTTATTTATCTTCCAACTATCTCCAATTATCAAAAAAGAAACAGAGTGTATTTCTTGAAGTATTATAGTTATTCATCTCAATTATTGTAAAATGTTAACTTTTTTTTCTCAATATTAGACTTAATCATTGTAGATTTCATAACAATGACATGTTCAAACAAATAGAGTCATTTAAAAATTAGCCAATAATCTATAATGAGAACATGTTTTCGCGTAAAAATTTTCTTTCAACTATTCACAATTTATTATGATTCAACATAAAATTCATTGTATTGTTAAATTAAATCATTATGTATAATAATAATAATTATTACATTGTAATTCATTGAATAGAATTTAAATTGGCATCAAGAATTCAACAAGTTAACATTTGATTAATCTGTTCAATAATCAAGTGTTTATATAAATAATCTTATATTGTAGAGAAAAGTGTTCATTTGAATGTATCAATATTCAATAATCTTGAAATAAAACACACATTACTATGTAAATGGTTTATATATAAACCAAGATTTCTAAAAATTTGCAATATTGGGTTGTGGAGATTGTTGAGTTAGACCACCATCGGAAACCTGCAAGCACTGAAACACGGCCATTTCGTCCTGGTATAGGACTCATCAGCAGTGAATATCTGTGACTCCTGACACTCACAGGACTCGAACGCAGGATCTTCAGTCTAGCGCGCGAACGCTCAACCTCTGGACCAGTAAAGCCAGCATTCAAAGGTGTTAATGTCTAACCTTGTAGTGTAGGAGTAGATTGGAAGAAAGCTAGGGGCGGTCAGAACAAAACATGGCACAAATATATGAAGTCATTGACAAGTGGACTGAGTCATCTTGGTAGATGTAGGCTACCTGGTTGCGGTCCGCGAGACGAAAGTCACCAATGGTTAGAGAACTTGAATGACATGGCTCAGAATCGTTTGCAATGGCGCAGGTGCATCCACTCTTTGTGTTCTGTGAAATTCTAAGCTTCTGCATTCCTCATAATCTCTACCTTTTCCTTCTAAATTTATCTTACTGAATTATACTTTTCAAATCATATCTTCGCTCCCTAATCTTCTCCATTACTGCTAATACTTCCATTATTGCTATCACTCTTGAATTTGAACTGACAGTTACATCTCTGTGCTGATGTGGTATGGCAACGTGAACTGATGTACTTACGTACGAAGTTCTTCTTTGTATCTGTCTGTCTAACCTCGATCAGTCTACGGTCTTGCGCAACTTCATCCACTCTGTCTTCGGTTAGCACTACTTGAATTTGGAGAAACGTTAACAATGATTCCAGTTAACAGTGATGAAATTTATAGTCTTCTGTCATACTTTTACTGTTTGTATAGAGACTTTTTACTAAATGACATAAAAATGCATTCACATTTCAAGAAAATAGTTTTAATCATTACAAACTAGTGAAAATAATCTAAGATTATTCAGTTTGTAGTGAAGGAGAACACAGGTGGGGCAACCGGATTGTATTTAACGAAAATTACAGAGTTACTCAGTAAAATAGGAAAACCATATCGTAAATCGTTAATTTGCAAAATATCAATTCATCATATCGAACTGGTCTGTTCCTGTTGCAAAACATCAATCCATTGTCACTATTCATGCGTTTCATACAAATTCCATTGTGTTCTAACTCTTCCTTTCTCTTGATCTTCCCCCACCTTCTGCTGACAGACATTACGTTTTCACTCACGTCATATACTACTTATAAGTAGCTCGCACCACAAGTTGAATTTCTATTAGTATTTCTGTTTAATCAGAAGATTTAATGTACAACAATATCACTAATGATATTTATGTTGAATAATAAAGTTTTTCTTGGGTAAATTTTAATAATGAATTCTTTTTATTATTTTAAATCTCTATATTATTTTGACAGACAATCCACAATCATTGTTACAGCCTGTAACGAATACTGATCATATCAGAATTGGGACACTGTTAGATCATATTCCTAAAGATGATGATTCTTTCTTACATCAATCAAGCATAACAGATAAATCCACAGAGTCTATGTCATCCAATCTTCCATCACTGACATCCTCATTACCAGTTACATTATCAACAACATCAATTTCTGGTTGTTGTAGTACTTCAGCTCCCAATTCCTCATCATCTATATCAACAGATAAACAAAAGTTAGCACAAGATCTTGTCCAGATGTTTTACTCTTCAACATTGAATTCATTCAATCAACAACAATCAATTTCACCACCACCTACTAGTTCTTCATCATTCACATCACAAGATTTACATGATTTCAATTGTTTTTTATTTAAACGACTTTTCACTGATGATGATGATGATATTCTTCTGTCCAATCAAACAATGAATTCAACAAATTCAACATTGAATCCATCGACATTTTCAAAATTTATTCCTTCTGCGTTACAATTATCAACATTTATGAATTGTTTAGGGAATTTTAATTCAACTCAACAATCATTCATTCATTTCACGTCTTCATTGTTTCCGTCATCATCATCATCATCATCATCTACTCATTCATCAGTTGTGTTTTCTTCGGAAAGTAACAATTCTTTTGAAAATCCCACTATAACATCGATTGCAAAGATGAATTTACCTTCATTTATTCAATGTCCAACATCTTCTGTATTGTTAGCGGCGGAATTTCAAACCAATGTCAATGAACAACATTTTAAACAAAATACCACTAATAATAATAATAGTAGTATGAATGATAATCATCATAATTGCAATAATGATACACTGATTCCAATTTGAAATGTCATTATTTGAAATTTGATTTTGTTTTTTTCTTACAAGAATTATGTATGTAATATGTAGACAATAAATAATATACATGAATTTGAAAGAATTCTCCGGTTTTTCTATTAATGGAATTTTTCCAAGGTATTTTGCCCGCCATAATATTCAATATTCAATGACAGAGATATACATGAAATATTAAGCACATACGAACTGATCGATGATGTGTTGTGGTTGCTGTTGTTGTAACTGTATCATTCTTGGATCATCTTACTTTTAAATGCGTTGATATTGTTTTCGCATTTCATTTACCCTTTAATTCCTAATTTTGGAAAAAACTGAACATTGAACAGAATGATTTAGTTATTTCTTAGACATCTTCATTTCTATGTGTGTGTGTATCTGGTCGTAATTAGTTTGAGCAGTTTGTTTTTGTACATTTTTTTTAAAAAATTCCCTGTATGATATCACATCCCATCACATTACATCACACCATTTAAATTGAGCATGTCAATCAATCAGTAGTATATAGAGTATGATTAAAAAATAATAATACAAGCTGCTGCGAGGATGATATTCATTTGAACTCTTATATTCTAACTATCAATGTATCACAAATGAAAGTTTTTTTTCTGAATTGTTGTCTTTTTTTGTTCACTGATCAATTTTTAAGGTTGTTTTTGCTTTTTAAAAATGATCATTAAAACCAAATGTTAATAAAATACAAGTTTGTTATCAGTCAGTTAGTTAGTTACAATGTAGAACTTTGTACATGAGTTTATAAGTTCAGGTTGCTATATCGGCATCAACACAGAGATGCGATTGTCAGTTCAAATCTCAAAGTGGTAGATATAGTAGCAGTATTAGCAGTAATAGAGAAGATTAGGGAGCGAAGATTTGATTCGAGAAGTATAATTCAGTAAGATAAGATTAGAAAGTCAAAACTAGGGGTGTTGAAGAATCCAGAAGATTAGGATTTGAGAGAGCACAACGAATGGATGCACTTGCGCCATTGTAAACGATTTTGAGCTATGTCGTTCAAGGTCTCTTACCATCGGTGGCATTCGTCTCGTGGACCCCAATCAGGTAGCCTAAATCTGCCAACATCACTCAGTTTACTTGTCAGTGACTTCATGGATTTCTGCCATGTTTTGGTCTGGTGGCCCCTTACTTTCTTCCAACCTACTCCTACACTACAAAACATCACTCGTCGAGGCAGTTAGTTGTTGGACATTCGTAACACATGTCCTAACCACCTCAACTGATGAAGTTTCAGTACTTCTTAAGGATGTTGTCTCCAATATGCGTCGATGGGTTCTACAACTGCAGTCTAATTCAGTAAGATAACTTTAGAAAGGGAAAGATAGAGATAATGAGGAATTCAGTAGGTTAGCACTTCAGATAACACAATGAATGAATGCACCTGTGCCATTGCAAACAATTTTGTTATAGTTTATGATGATTCAGCATTTCGAACAATTGTAAGGATTGTTCTAATATGAACGAGATTGGGTTTTTTAATAAATAACACTTCAACGATCTTAGGAAAGAGGTCAACATTGTAATAGAAATATCTTTGTTTGTATGTGAACAAATATATCGTTGACATATGAGCAAGAACAGCAAACCGAAAGTTAAGATAACCAATTTGACGACAGTTAAGGTTGGTGAAAAGAATTAACATTTGTTGATAAAAGTAAGCAAACTAAATGAACCTAGGCACTTTTGTAAATATCTAGTATGATAGTTTGTGGAAATGAGTTTAACTGTAAAATATTATTTCACCTAAAATATTGAACAAACATTTAAAACTACTTATTAAATTTCTCAATAGTTCATACCGAAGACCCCACGATTAAAAAAAACTATAATAGTATCATTGATTATCTCAGAGTTCGACGAAATGAACTTTTTAACTTTAGCTGATTTCGGATATGATGGAGCGTGAAGCTTCCTTTTTTGATCTGGTCAGTTCCCAATGTTGAAGAATCTTATGGTATAACGAAATACCAGTTTAAATCTTCATAGATCTCTATAGTTTTACATCAAATATACCAATTCGTGAAGGAAGCTATTGTCAAACTGTGGTGTGGTTTTTAATCTTTTTTCGTATTTTTTTTCAGTTTACTAACTGATGCGATTTGATACAAATTTGATAAGATTTTTTATCTTGGCTGATTGTAAATAATGACATTCTTAAATGTGATTGGAATAATGTGATCATTGATTGTTGGGGACATTAGATCACCAGAACTCACTTGGAAAATGACATAATCTTTGATTTTTGTGTTTTCGAACATGAGGTGCTCAGTTGACCTTGAGATTACATTTTCCACTCGGGAAATCCTTGACTGTCATTGGTTGATGTATTATTTTAGTACTCTATTTTTGTGGCTTTCACAAGGACGTTTCTATCATGTATAAATAAACTCGATTTGTGTGCTTGTCGACCTCATATTTTCTGGTTGCTTGTAGAGTACACTTTCTACGCCATATCAAAACTTCTTTATAGCAGGGCTGAGGACCAACGGATTAGAGTAGCCTATCGTGTCATTTATCTTTGCCCTCGTTTACTGAGTAAGGTGAACTCGTAGTAGTTTCAAGCATATCAATTGACGAGGATGTTAATAATAATAAACGTTTTAATGAATTTAAATGATAACTTGAGTGTTCAAATCAGTTAAATCTTCACTATTCATCGCATAAAAAATACGAATTCCACTTTGATTTAAATATCTGACTAACACCAATAAATACATGAATCGAAATTCGAGTATACAAACTTGTACTTATTTTTCAAATCATTACATCAGCTACTTTGGTTGATTAAATAAAAACTTTTAAACGATGTGTATATCATAAAAGAAGTTTAAGTGATTATAGGTGGATGTTTTACTACAATGGTGAATTTTTATTTTTACAAGTTGTAACTTTCATGAAAGGTGTACATGAACATTAAAAGTAAGGTGATATGAGATGGGAAAAATGTTCACATGAGATGCAAGCACTAAATAATTGTTTCGACACATTTTTCTAACTCATCGTAGTTAACAAGCTAAAGCTTACTATTGTAGCATTGAAGTTTCTGTTGGGGACGCTAGATCCCTGGAACTAGCTTGATAAATGCCTAAATTTTGCATTTTATGTTTCCGAGCATGGGATGATCAGTTGACCTTGAGATCGCATTTCCTACCAGGAAAATCTATGGCTGTGATTGGTTGTTGTGTATTTTAGTGTGCTATTTTTGTGACTGTCCCAACGACGTTTCTATGATGTATAAATAAACGAGATTTGTGTGCTTGATTGTACTGTGCTTGTTGGGTCTTTGTAAAATATACTTTCTACGCTATATCAAGACTTTTGGTTAGTCATCGGAATCAGGTTAGCCTACCTGGACTCTGGTTTATTGTCTCGTTCTCGTTTATCGACTAAGATGAACCCGTAATAGTTTTAAGCATACCTAGTGACGAGCTTAACAGTTTCACATCAATGTGACTGAATAGTAATAATAATGACATCTTCAGTGACAAATATTTTAATGTGAGGTTTGATCAGATGATTATGAGGTAGTGAATATGGATTGATGCAGTCGATTGCTTCTTACTTTACAACAATTACTAGACGTAGTCAATCACTGGTTAAAAGATTTTAGCATTTGTATTTCATTTTACTGGAAAAATAGAGTTGATAAATTTTCCCTTCCTATTAATTACTCATATATGGAGATGTCATCTGCTGGACGATCTGGACTAGGCAGATGACCTGACTCTTGTATCGTACACGCAACAACAAATGCAAGGGAAGACAACCAGTATAACAGCAGCCTCAGCAGAAGCAGGCCTCAGCATACATAAAGTGAATAGCAAAATTCTCCGATGCAACACAACATGCACCAACCAAATCACTCTTGATGGAGATGCCTTGGAGGACGTTAACACCTTTACATATCTGGGCAGCATCATCGACGAGAAAGGTGGATCCGATGCAGATGTGAAGGCGCGGATTGGTAAAGCAAGGGATGCATTTCTACAGTTGAATAATATCTGGAACTGTAAACAACTATCGATCAACACCAAAATCAGGATTTTCAATACTAATGTGAAGACAGTTCTACTGTATGGAGCGGAAACTTGGAGAACTAGGAAAGCTATCATCCAGAAAATACAAGTGTTTATTAATAGTTGTCTACGCAAAATACTTCATATTCTTTGGCATGACACCATCAGCAACAACCTACTTTGGGAGAGAACGAACCAGATTCCAGTGGAGGAGGAGATCAGGAAGAAGCGTTGGAAGTGGATAGGACACACACTGCGAAAATCACCTAACTGCGTCACAAGACAAGCCCTCATATGGAACCCTCAAGGCGAAAGGAAAAGAGGCGGACCGAGGAACACATTACACCGAGAAATAGAGAAAGATATGAGAGGAATGAAAAAAAATTGGACGGAACTGGGAAGGGTAGCCAATGACAGAGTTGGTTGGAGAAAACTGATCGGTGGCCTATGCTCCATTGGGGGTAACAGGTGACAGTTAGTAAGTCATATGTATATGTCAACCATATGATTTTTACAGTGTTCATCCAATGAAAATCAGCCTTCTCTTTTTAAAATCAATGTTTATAAATGGCTAATGGAAACGTCTACAGGAGAATAACATCTATGAAGTGGTAAGATCCGTTTTCCATTTTTTCAATACTAAATAATCAATGAAATTCTTACTCCGGATGAGATAAATCTTTAATTCAATTCAATAATTCAGAATAAATAAGAAAACAAAAATACTAACACATGTCTTGTCTCATCACCATTCCATTCACTGGCTATTTTGAAGTTGTTATCAAAATGGTTCTATTGTTTTCTGATATTCATCACAATGTAGTCAATATTTACATCGTCGCACTTACAGTAGTTCTTTTGGTCATATTTTCATTTATGACTGGTGTATATTAGAGTGTGTAATCTCAATTAAAACGTTTTTTTCAGCCATCATTCGGACTATTCCAAGTTAGATTG